GGGCAGATAAAGAAGCATTTGTTAGATGAAACTGTGAGCAGGTGACATTCCATCTGTGGTCTAGTGACCCACATCCTGCTTACAGAGGAATCGAAGCATTATGCACATCAGAATCTGTTCCTCAGAGAGTTGCAGTTAGGGCAGGTGATGGAACGGTCCTTACAGATGACATTGCGGTTGTGACCCACTGGGCTGGCTACTTTGAGCAGACGTTCAAAGCTGATCCTTCAGCTAGGATGATGGACATCTTGAGGCTGATCCTCCAATCAGCTGTAAACCACCCAATCTCACTGAGATTGCACAGGTGGTGAATCAGCTGGGGGTAGGGAAAGCCGCAGGGATCTGTGGTATCCGGGGTAAACTTCTCCAGGCTGGTAGTAAGGCTGTCCCCCTGGTATTGTAGGCAATCTTTGCTTCCATTTGGGATGTCATCTCAACTGATTGGAAAAATGAACTTGTTGTCCCTATGTGGAAAGGCAAACGTGATCGTCTGGATTGAGGCAACTACAGGGGTCATTCTTAACAGGATCTGCGATCACTTGTTCGCCTACCAGCAACCGGAGCAGTCTGGTTTTATACCTAAAAGTGTCTGTCTGCATGCGGGGAAGGTCTTGACCTAGTCGGGAGGTTCACTTATAGCTGCGTTCATGTCTAGTGACTCTTCCTATGAAGTCTGCAGATGATTAGGAGAGCATAGGGGCAAAAGGTCACTGGAAAGGGGTCTTTAGAGTCCTGGCGCTTCCTGTCTTGCTGTATGGCTGTGGGACATGGATGCTATGCAGTGAGCTGAGATACAGACTGGACTCCTTCGGTACTGTATCTTTTCGGAGAATCCTTGGGCACCGCTGGTTTGACTTTGTGTCAAATGAGCGGTTGCTAGATGAGTCCTGAATGAGGTACATTACCTGCATTATGAGGAAGCGTCAGTTATGGCACTATGGCCATGTGGCACGTTTCCCTGAGGGTGACCCGGCTCGCAGGATCCTCATTGCTGAGGACCCAAGCAGCTGGACTAGGCCAAGGGGACGCCCACATAATGCCTGGCTGCGGCAGATAGATCGCCATTACAGGAGGGTGGGACGGGACCTCATGTCTGCCTGGGGGGGTCGCCAGCCGGGATCCCGGGGTGTTTCGTCGTGTTGTGACTGCGGCAACACGCTGCACTAGTGCATGCTCCCCAACTTGACCTGACCTGACCTGTTTGCCAGTCTATGTTCAGGATGCCAAATCAGTCTTGGTTTTTAAATCTTGACTGAAGACCTATTACTTCAGTTTAGCTTACTAACTGAACCCATAACACGTTGTAACTGGGGCTGCTGGTGCTGCTGTAAATGCCATTTTCATTTACTATGCTTGTCCATTAATGTGTCAATGCATGTTCTGACCACCCATGCTCACTGCTTTCCTTTCCCCATATCTGGATGGTGCCTGGGGTGGGAGTTGGAGTCCTGGTTCAATCCCATGGAAGGGTGACATTGTGGATTTGACCTACAAACTGTTACATCATGGGTGCAGATGTCAATTTGCACCCAGCACAGGACGACCTGGATAATTGACTCATTGATGAACTTGGCTTGATCTGATCAGTCTACACCTAGACTTTTAGCAAGCAAGCTCACTCTTCTTTTTCCTATAATGTTAGCATGCCCAGGGGGGGTTGGGCAGCCACAGTGTCTGAGCGAAACCCACTGAGTAGCTGTATCCCACATCTATATTTTACAATATAGATAAATTGTACTACAGAGATCAATATATTTATTAATATTAACCATATGTGTTAGCATGATTTTGTTAGCTCAGAATGTCCTTATATAAATATCAAGTAAAAATAATAACACTGCTATGACTTCATGAAGCAACAGGCTGATTTTTTTTTTCCTAAAAATAAAAGATTTCTTATTTCAGTACAGCTATTTTTTTTTCTTCTGGTAGGCTAGAAATCTAAGTGTGATATACAATTGAACATTTCACATGACCAATTTATTATCTGTATAAACTGAAATCTACATTGTTAATGACGTTGCCCAAAACGTTACTTTTCTCTATAATGGATGTCCGCTGCGATTTTTTTTCTAATTGTAAAAATTGGAGTAAGTGCGCCATCTGGTGAAAATTTATTTTTCTATATATTTGACAGTCAACACACTATAATGAAAAGTTCTTAATATGTTTAGCCCTTTTTTCATAATATTGCAGGAATTACAGGAACTTTTAGCGAACCAACATTTATGTAGTGAAAACATAAGTTTCAGTGGATCTCACACCTCCAGGGTTGGGAACAGGGGTGTAGCTAGATATTCTGCCCCCCCTTGCCATTCTGATGCCCATGGTTGGGGAGTCAAATCCCTGAGGAGCCTTCATGTTCTCTCTGTGCTGCACAGATTTATGCAGGTATTCCGGATTCCTCCTGCAGACTAAAGAAGTGCAGTCAGGCTAACTGCCATCTTTATATTGTCCCTAGTGTGTGAGTGTATGCATGTCCTTCAATGGAAAGGCACCACTGCGTGGGCCCCAGCTGACTTTCATGTGCTGTCTGGGATAGGCAGACAAAAGAACAAACAAACATTTGTTTTTATTTAGTTGACCCCAGAATATTTTGTACACTTGTTAGGGGTTTAAGAGAGGTGAAGATGATTCAGCTTTCAAGTTGAAGGAATTTTGCAATTTTATGAAGCATGGGCCCCTCTAAATAGTTGTCAGAGGTCTTGAAAAATGAAACAATTTCTATAAAACAGTTATAAACATTTTTTTTTTTTGGTTGGATGTTTCACCTGTCAAATACTGACAGAAAATAGAAGTTAAATTGAACAATTCAAGTCAAAATCGGTAAGCTTGGGGAAAGTTTCTGATGAGCTGTTTTGTTTTGTTTTTTTCAACTCATCTTTTTCATTTTTATGGTTTGCTTACTGCGTTTTGTGATCCGATCCCTCCCAGTGCCCCATCATGTTGTTCATCTGTCTCATGAATAAAATTTCAGTCTGAACACCAAGAAATATGAAACACTGCAAGACATCCTGCTGTCAGAAAACACATTTTAAAGAAACACCTCAGAATCAGCTTGGTGATTTAACTTGTACACTGAATCTTCACCAAAACAAATGCCTATGAATGCTGTCCCAGTAAAAAGAAAATTGTTGATGTATTTTTTTCCATGTTTAACCCACCCCTTCAGCTCTTGGTCAAAGGCGCTCTCCCATAAACGTTTAAGTGCCCAATCCTTTTTACTCGAACAATTTTGTGTGATTTCGCTTTACTGACCTTTGATCAAAGTACATCAGATGTTCAAACGGTAGCTGATCGGATACTGTACGTAGTATAGCTAGGTTCTGAGTCAACAACATCTACTTGGATACACAACAACAGACTACAATAATACTACCGCTCAGGGCAACACACTCTGGAAACAGAGGCACAAGCTGAGTTTTACAGACTTTATATATGGTATTTATATATTTTCGTGGTTTAGCAATGATGTGATGTCAGGTGCTACAGACGGGGAGGGGAGTTTGAGGTATAATTTTGTACCTTTTGTTTTAATGTTTTTGGGTCAGCATGTTCATATCCCATGTTCATCAGCTCTCGCTTCATTTTTCCTCTACCGAATCGAGATAAAACATTTAAAGTGTTTCGAAATAGTGTGACGTAGGGAAACCCCAGAGTAGTCACGTGACTGCTTATTATTGTCGCTGTTGTTATTTACACAAACATCGAAACTACTGAAACACTATGCTTAGAATTAATGGAAGCAGTTTCGAGCTTGGCATCACAGAAGTCTTGTTTATTATACGCCCTCTCCATAGGCGTTTAGTTCATGTTTGTACCGGTATCATCATTCCCTGTCATCGTGCCATCTGTTTGTCACACTAAAAGAAACAATACGCCTCCCACCATTCTCTATTCAAACACTGTCCCTCACCGTTAAGACTTACAGTGAGATATTTGACTTTGTTTTACTTTTCGCGTTGGTTTGGTGATCGTCTGTCGTATGTTTGCATATATTATCGTATTACGTACCTTTAGTTCGCCTTCTCACCTTTGCATCCACGTACAAAGATTCAATGTGCACCACTGTCATCGAGTTTATCGTCGGGTAGTAGGCGAGGTCCGGTCCAGTTTGTCACCCCCATTTATATCCGCCCACTAGCATCCCAGTTGTATTGTCCAAATTTCTTCTTAAAATGGGAACGATAAAAATGACCCATGAGAGTATTTTAAACAAACTCGTGCCATATCATAATAAAAGGGGAAAACAGTAATGTAAAATTGAATGAGGTCAAGTAAATACATCAGCTGAATTAATTAAATGAGTTGAGGGCAATTGCTTTTCTTTTCTCTTCTAATTAACAGTGACAGGTGAGCCAAGTGAAACCACTGCTGTTGTGAGAGGAGGAAGAGTATGGGTGACAGCTTCATTCATACCTGAATTTTTGTTTCTTGCCAAAATTGCTCCATTCTCGCTAACAGCATCGCAGCAGCACGCACCAGATAAGAGGGGCACATTCTGACGTGTCAGAACTGAGACAAATGCAAGTGCCTGGAGCTGGAGGACTGATGAGAGGGACTGTTTAACAAGTGGTGAGGGTATTCGAGAGTCCATCCAGTCAGCCGCTTATCCTATGCAGGGTCCAGATCTTATCCCTTCTATCCCAGAAGCTATAATCACAACACAGGGAATAACCCAGGATGGGGCACCAACCCATCACATGGGAACATCACACACCAGTCACTCATAATCTGGTGACTTCAATTCACCTTGGCATGTTTTTGGACTGTGGGGGGAAACTGGAGTACCCAGAGGAAGCCCCACGACAACACAGGGAGAACATGGAAATTCACACAGGAATGCTGGTCTCAGAGGGCGTGCGCCAAAAATGCTAACCATTACATCACCATATTTTTGTTTGAGGCATAACAGATGCTCAGTATTAACTTACTTGTAATGAAAATTCACAAAGTAACACACTTGTATAGAATTTCCTGAAATTAAGGACATTTTAGGATTTTTGTTTAAACATTTAATGACATACACTGACAAACAGACTTTATTGATCCCAAGCAGGATATTCTGGAGTGTAGAGCCCAAACATAATTACTGGAGGAAATGTGAAACTCACTTGTGTTCATCTGTTGTTGTACATCAATGTGACAGGCAAGGTCATGGTGGGACATTTCATGTACTATCACAGTATTTATGAGAAAACTGAGGAAAACAGATTTTAAAAATAAGTTGAAAACTACCAATAGATACTGGTCTGGTTCCTGCTCATAGCAGGTATTAAAAAAGCTACCTCCTACTCAGAGCTGTAATTTCTGTAACTTCCTGTCTTGCTTTTACTGACACTGTAATGCATAATTGTGAGACACGTTTAAGTACCAACTTATGCGATGAGACTTCAGCTGTTCTTTGGAAGGGAGGGAGACACAGATCACACACCCCACAACAAAGCTACTGCAAGATCTGCAACACAGCAGCACGGACAGGTGAAGAAATGTGCTGGCATAGCAACAAGCACAATCACAGAACAACATGCACACAGTCAATATCGCATACCCTGGAGTAAAGCATACACAGTCAATGTTAGTGATGCAGGAAGGTGTGACTGGCTTTGGTGATGGTACAGCTATTTCAGGTAATATGTTGGTTCATCTCCACTGTTCATGCAGAAAGCAGATGCTTTTCTTCCTCACACCAGGGTTTTCCTACCACCACCTGTAACTTTTCCATCCATCTTACTTGTTTTTCTTTACCCTGCTCTCCTTGTATCAAGATCTTCACAGCTGAAGTCCCATTAAAATCTAAAAACCCAGAATAGTCTTTGAATCAGTAGTTCCCACCTTTTCAGTCATAAAGTTAAGTCATCAAAATGCTGCAGTATTCGTCCTCAGTGCAGGTTTAAGAATTCCTTCGCAGTCACTCATAGGTTTCTCTACCCTCCGACTCCTCGAGTGGTACATGAACATTCCTGCACAGTCCACATCAGCATTAATACTGATGCATACTTTTGACTGTGTAGGATAACTTCACATGACATCCTTCATCTTTGGCAATTTACCTTGGAATTGAAATGCAATGACTTCTGTACACAATCCATTCCCCTTCTCCTTTCACCTGCTACATTCCATGTCAGTCCACACCTTGTACAGGTTTAGGGTCTGTGTGAGATGTTCCTTTGCAGATGACCTACAGTAGCTTCATTTAACCAGGCATAAAATTGTAACTACTAGTCAGTACTGGGCATCCCCTGTGGTCACTCTTACTAAGAGTCGACCATCAAAAAACATTACCTTCTCTGCCGTTAGCTGCTGCTCTGATACAGTCAGCAAAAAAGCATTTTGGGCTCACTTGGAATAAGGGTATTCTTCCAGAATGTCCATCAAAATGATGTCATATTATTAAAAAAAAAACAGTATTTGATAAAAATACCAAAAACTTAGAAAAAGAAATAAATACATTAGTTGGGCAGTGAAGAGCGAGTGTCAGTAGTAAGTTTGTTGTTTCACATTGTAAAAGAGTATTTATAAAACTGAAAAGACTTGGGCACACCGGGAAGATGCACATCTTAGCACCTCTCCTACATAAGAATCGATTTAAATGCCACGCATGCCACCATAGCCTAGCACTTCCCTCATCCCATCCCCCACTTGGGAAGAAATACTTCAATCAGGCTACCAGGCTTTCCTTAAAATAAAAAGTGGCTGTTGGTCATATGAACAAAGCATTGCACATGTTATTGCAGTGTACACTAACATACGCCCCCCAGGTTCTTCTGCAGATGCAAGTGAATACAAGTTGCAAGCACAGGGTGGAGATGTCGATTCTTCAGACATGGGTGGGCGCTGGGAGCCCAGCTCCCCTCTGCAAGGTGCCGGGACCTCAGCTGGCCCACAGCCACGACTGCAGCAGGTCCCAGTGTTTCCAAAGCGAGAAGAGCAGCAACGCCAGCAGCAGGCTGGCAGCCACGCGCTCGCGGCTCTTCATCAGTGGCGTGATGAAGCTGGCCAGCGTGGACACGAACACCAGCAGCACGGCCATGAGGGCCAGCACCACGTTGATGAGCTTCCCCAGCAGGGCGCGGGCGGCCCCCCCCTCAACACCCTCCAGCTGCACCACCTGCTGCTGCTGCTGCTGTAGCTCCAGTTTGGTGATGCGGGTCAGACACGATTCCACTGCCTCCTGGAGAAACGCAAGCGCGTACACAGGAGGTCAGGCAAAGCGGTGTGTTTCCGTGTGAACCAAATAGCAGAGGTGCCAGTCGGCGCTGTGATCTGGGCTTTAGCCAGGATGGTTGGCTCACCTGAACATCTCTGGCTCTCTCATAGGACTGATAGGCCACCTTTTCCTCCATGCTGGCGAGCTCCTGTTTCAGGTTACTCATCTCGTTCTGGTGCAACTCTGTCAGGTCATTCAGCTGCTCCTCCAGACGCTCATATCTGTAGACACAGACACCGATACAGACAGAGACTCCTACAGCTACACACACACAGACACGGATGCCTAGACAGCTTTACTGGCTGACCTGTAGCGCTCCTCCTGTAGCCACTGAGTCATGTAGTCATAGTCCCTCTGCAGCTGGGTCTTCAGGTCCACCATGGCGTCTTCAAGATGCTCCTGTCCAGTTTTGATGTCCCGCAGCTCCTCCAGCAGGGCATCCCAAGAGCCGTTCATCGTGTGGGCCCTCGGGCTTCCTGCTGCTGGTCCCGCAGGGCTGCCTGCCGAACCAGACGTGGCACTGGAGCAGTCGTCCTCGCTGCCGTACTTGGGGCTGGAGACCAAAGTGGCGCTGCCGCTGAGCGTGCGTGGCGTGTCCTCGGCCCGCGGGTCCTCCAGCGTGTCCTTCAGCTGCGCTATGTTGTCCGCACTGCCAAACTTGTTGCGGATCAGGCTAGCGAATTCCCGTGGCTTGGACACCACGGCCGTGTGAGAAAGAGCAGATACCCCCCCTTTGACCCCCTCCACCACCCCTCCCCCAAAGCCACTGATGCCAGCCCGCACATTGGCACCCACATCCTTGAGACCCTGCTGCATGTCCCGCAACACGTCCTTTGGCTGGCGAGTTGGGCCGTTCTGGGGAAACAGACACACAGGTACATGAGTTAAGGGGGGGTTATCCCCACAAGCCTTTTACAGAGCAGATCTGCATGCATTCTCAACTGTCTATGTTACACTGTCAAACAAACTCTTACAAGCTGGTATCAAAAGGCCAGACGTATCGATCCCCATTTATCTATTCTGTAGACCATTTATCCACTGGAGCTAAGCTAATGGTCCTCCTTTTCATTACTGAGAAAACGCCTGTGAGGTACTTAAACTTCCCATCAATGACAGTCAGATCCTTTCTCCAGTAAAGACTAGTTAATTGTTTCCTGAGAAAGAAGCAGGTGCTGGTTTACCCAGTTCAGGTTACTAATATCTTATTGTATGTGTCTTATACACGTACTTATATAAATGGGACAGTATGTGGTTCTGTGGATTAGGACTCTGTTCTTGTGATTGAAAGCTCACTGGTCCAAATCCCATGGAGTGATCTCACCACTGGGTCCTTGAGCAAGGCCATTAACCCCAGCTGTCAAAGGTACTGGCTGACACTGCTTTCTCAACTCTGCGTTGCTTTGGATAGAAATGTTTGCAAAATACATGTAAATAAATAAAATAATCTGGAAATTTTGCATATATTTGTCTCCAGCAAGTACTCAGGCTAAAATTAACTACTGACTTATAAACCACAACTGTAAAGCCAATATTACATTGCTGTTAAAATCATACCTACAGTTTTTTTCAGTAAAATTTTACTTGACGGGTCACAAATACTTAGTAATAATTAGTAATAATTCTGTTACTACTGGAGTACAAATCATGAAGAAGTACTATAAAAGATGCGTCATGTTGTTTTGTTGATGAACAAACATTAGGTCAGTATTTCACTCGAGTTATCCATTACTTGTTCCTTCAGTAGTTCCTCAGTAGTCCCTTCAGTAGTTCACAAGGGTTTACAGAATTTACAGATATAGTAACCTCTTCAGATGAAAGATGCATCTTGATTCATTAATGATCAGCAAACATGAGATCAGTATTTAACTTATTCATGTTAGTTATTCATGACTTGTTCCTTCCGTAGTTCCATCAGTAGTTCACAAAGGTTTACAGAATTAACAGATATAATAGGAAATATAGTAACTGAGAAAAAACATGCATCAGCATTCATTAATGATGCATTAACATGACCACTAAGACTTAGTTTATGGTTACTTAATACATAAGTAATAGCACAATACTATATTATTTGTGCCCCGTCAAGTAAAGTGTTACTGTTTTTTACTTTCATTTACAGAAAAATATGTCTCTGAACTCATAAAATTTTATGAATGATGCAATAAAATCTGGATGAGATATTCAAATTAGGGGTGAAAAAATGTGTCAATGCATCGTAATGAATTGATTAATTATTAAAGTGCCAATTCAACTGCATTGATCTGTAATGTCAGAATCATTTTTATGGGCAATATCCTCCTTAAAGGTAAAGATACTCCTGCTTCCTGGTAGTACACTCTAACGTTCACGCGCTGTGGGCAGACTCACAAAGTAGTAGTGTCGGCAGGCAAATTACCGAAACATAGGATGGCGGGGGAGGTTCATTCTTAAAAGACGCACTACCTGAAGATCATTGCTCCGTGATGGTGATCTTTGTGCTGTGACACTTTTGGGAAATGCCTCTCTTTTTGTAGTACAAAAAAAAAAAGTCCTTTTTGCTATCAATAGCAGCAATGGTCAAGAATCTGAAGCAGCTAACAAACTAAGTAAGTAAAAAGTAATGTTAGCCGTTCAGATGCATGATATATTGGCTAACACAGGAGTCTCCAACTCCGGTCCTGGAGAGCTACTATCCAGTATATTTTCTGTCCCACTTGGCTTCTGATGAGCCACACCTGTTCCTGGTATTTACCTGAGAACAGGTGTGGCTCATCAGAAGCCGTGTAGGATAGAAAACCAACTGGATGGTAGCTCTCCAGGTGGTTAGCCCAGTTGGAGAACCCTGGGCTAACATATCAGTATTGGCCGATATTCGTTAAAAATCAAGATATCAGTATTGGTCTGATGAATCTTGGCCATTATTGCAGGCCGATATTTAAACTTTATCAATATTCAAATTTAGCAGCATCAGATATTGAATTGGCTGATAAGCCATCTTCCACAGTGGAGAACAAGGGATTTTGTGGGCTCATTCATTACTTAGAGAACATCTCAAAGTACTGGCCTGCAACATGTTTATAATTCATTAATTAGTAATTACAGATTTTCTGTAACTTTCACAATACTGGAAATTAAGTTCCCATGGTGATATGTGTGAAATATTTTCAGTGAACTTAAAAAAAGGTCTGAATTTAGGTTTTGAATCAAAATAGTAGAATAAACGATTAATGAATCATGATAGAAATTGAAGGTTTCCGATGCATCAATTCATTCACTTAATAACTGTAATTATTATTATTATTGTTAAGTTCTCCCCAAACGAGCTCGATGGGCTTAATGGCCTCCTCTCGTTTGTAAATTTCTTAAGTTCTTATGAATCGAATGGTGTTAATTTTGCCAATGAAAATTTTGACGATAAATATTTGTTGAGGACCTTTTATTTCATGACTAAATTGTAATGGCAATGTAAATTTAAAAATGTTGACCACAAAAATTACAGCAAAATCTCTGTTCATTATGCTCTGACAAGTAAAGACAAGGTGAAATTGCTGGCTCTGTTTGAGCAGACAATCAAGTTCACAATAGCCATCTCAAATCTTTCTCATTGGGTGATTTGATTTTCCCGCTTGATGCATGTCTGCAGAGATGCCAGTTTCCAATATAACTAATGCTAAGTTCACACTACATGATTTTAGCCCTGATTTTCTGCTCGCCATCAATTTTAGAAATTTCCAACAAAACCCCCAGATTGGAGGCAAATCAGTATGCGATTGGCCCAGGCAAATCGCCGCATGATCACGATGTGTGAACTGTTCACAACATGAAGACGCCCATCAGATATTTAGCAGGCTAAATATCTGGACCTGTCGGCAACTCCAAATCCTGTAGGTGTGAAAGGTGCTCTGACTGCCAATGAGTGCGGTGATGAGCCACAGCCAATGAGAGTGCAAGACACGGGGTGAGATGAGAGTGTTCAGGGATACACACACACACAGGTTTGTAATTACAGACGCTCCTCTACTTAGGAACTTCCAACTTACAAACTTTCAGTTCCTTTACAATAACCATTCTTCAAAAACAGAAAGTACAGTAAAATCGCTGAAATGACAAAAACGGGACATTAGCGTGGCGCTTAGGACTAATATTGCAATTTTTCTAAAAAACTTTAGGCATTCATTTTTATATATGAAAGAAGTATGGTAAGACTAACACATTCCCAGCCTAGATAACTAAGCATCACAGGGTGTGCTTACTTCTTAAGGGAATTTTTACAGGCAGGAGTAAAATCCTTCAGCAAAATCTATTCCACTATCTGAGAAAATTATGACTAAAAATGTACTAAAATTAGACTAAATTTAAACCGGAGTTCCACTGACTAAATCTTAACTAAAACAAAAAAAAAAAAGAAAAACTAAAATGTGACTTTAATCCCACTACAATTTTCAGTAAGTGACTAAGACTAAAACTAGATAAAAAATTCTTGCGAAAATTAATGCCATTGATTTACACCCCTTATTCAAATTAAATTAATTGAATCTGATGCTCTTGAAACTGACCATACTAATACAAGGAGGCATATAACCAGGATTGTAATTTGTTCAACCTGTTGATTGTTCTTTGTTGTGTGTATATAAGGCCCTTCACTCTGTTCAGTCTCATCCTCGAAATGGAACCATGACATGATGTTAGATCAACCACTAAGACATTCCTACAAAATGCAAATCTAAAGTGTACATTCTCTGCCTTGGTCACCAGAGCTACTCTGTACAGCAGTTAGTTATCTTTGCTTCTATACCATCCTGCATCCTTCTTGATGCTAACAGATTTCTGACCTGCATCCAGTAGATGGACCTGCAAGGAAAGCTTCATCCAGGGTACTGACAGCTGCCTTCCCAGGACTCTGCAACCATCAGCTCGATCTCCTGACCACAATCACTCACCCCACTCCCCACCCCTGCTGCTGTCATCCACAACCAAGCCATTTATATTTCATTATATATATTTATTATGCATTCCTTACAGCTGCAGTTTTACCAGAGTGCTACTCAATCACCTTTCTTTGAAAACAACTCTGGAAAAATTACTGTGAATAGCTGCAAAGCTTTCTGTGAAAGCTTGCTTGAAAAAAAAAAAATGCACTTCACTAAATGAAACCTGACTGGCTGTTTTTTTTTCTGAAGTCTGTAACGAAACACCTGCTGTAGCGGATCTTTGGCTGCGCCATATCGAAAACGGATTTCCAGCAAGGCATGACACTGCTTTCTTCTCAGATCAAAAAATGCAATACAATACAATACTGGGATCATCAAACAAGGGCATCAGTTAAGACTTATCCAGTTAACCAAAAAAAAAAATTATAATTTGCTATATTTGAAGTTTAAAGATAACATCATCTTTTAATATTTTTCAAGAATAATAATAATAAAAAAAAAAACTTCTGTAATTGCATGACATTTCATTCATATGAGGGTTAATGTGTCACCTGTACCAACTCAATGGAGGGAAGTTAAATAATGACGATTTCCGATGTGGCTGGACACTTCTACACTGAATCAGAGACATTGTCTCCATATAGGGGCAGTTCCCAGCTTACGGATCAGATCCATTCCCTGCGAATGAGCTTGTCGAACTGCTGAAGCCGTGCAACATTTTCGTGAGTGTCACAAAGTGATGCATGCGTTTGTTATTACTGACCATTATATTTAACCTGAATTTTTAATATAATAGGCTTTATGGCTGTCAGTTCATAAGTTAAAGTTGTCCTTAAGTCAGTCATTTTTAACCTGGGGACTGCCTATACTTCATTGAGAAATAGGGTCCTACTGTTGATGGTAATGCAAAATCAATCTAGAATGGGCACCAAATGTAGATAGAGAGTGCATGTCAGCTGGTGCCAGGACAAAATCCAGACCTCTCGAAGGCAAAATGACAAATGCTCAGGTTAGAATATCTCTGCATTACACAAAATACAAAAATAATTTACAAAACCTCAAAAAATGCAGAAAGAATGATTGTGTCTTCCAAAGGAAAAGGAGGAATATCAGACGGAGTCTATTTTAAATAAGCTGATTGTGCAAATCACTAAGGTCCCATACTTGCCACTGAACAAAACTGATGAGAAGATACATACAGGCACTTGCATCCAAATGAATTTGATTCAACTGAATCACTCAAGATTCAATCGAAGCTAATGAGCAAAAAAGTCAGTGGATATTTGTACAGAAGATGTTCCAATAGGGGCTGACATAGATTTTACCGACAGGGATAATGAAATACCACAGAGGGAAGAGGCTGTCAAGGGTGACACGGTAGGTACCCTAAAGGAAGCAGATGATGTTCAACAACTTCTGCCAAGAAAATGTGCAAAGCTGAAAAGCAGCTAAAGCTCTCTGATATAGTGCCAGAGAGTATAGCAAATCCATGGACAGGGCAGAACTTTTTGGACAAGAAAGACAAATGGAAATGGGAATCAGTGATGCAATAATCTGACAAATGACATTGATGTTAAACAGGGTCAGGTGATATACAGTTGAGGTCAAATTTATTAATCATTTATTTTCACCTAAATGGATACACAAAGTAGGATGAATCACTATCCAGCTGGAGGATGCAACACCTTAGATGAAGACAACGATTCAAAACAGTAGGTTGAATACTGGGATACAAAATGATGCCAGACTCACATTCAAAGCTTCCAATGTCAGACAACAAATCAACTTCACAACAGCCTGCACTATATCTTACTGTAGGTAGTGTGTCTTTTTCTCTGAAGAACCCATTTTGTTGTCTGCAAACACTGGGCTTATTTGCATTTTCAAACAGGTTGACAGAACCTTTCTTGCAAAACACATGCAATTTGCAATTTAGATATTTTGTGTAGTATGCTTCAACACAATCTTTTCATAGATCATCAGGAGTGCTATCGCAACTACATTACTCTTAAGATTACTACTTCTACTTGATCAAACAAATTTTACTAATAGTAAAAGCTGCAAAGGTTAAAATGCTTGCGGAGATTAAACTTTAATCTGATTTTAGGAGATGTCCAATAACACAACCAGCTCCAGCTCACCTGCTCAATCTCCTTCAGCTTCTTGTGATAGTGCTCCAACTTCTTGTGCAGGTGACTAAGTGTCTGTGCTGACTTCTGGTTCTTCTTCTCAAACACCTGTTTGATGCGAGCGGCTTGCTGCTTGTCGGCATTGTGAGCCAGCTTCAGGTACTCAGCCACGTGACCGTCGCGTGCCTCCTGCTCCACGCGGATCTGCTCCGTCACTTTCAGCACCTTCTGCTGTAAGTGTTGCACGGCGGCTCGCAGACGCTGAGGATCGGCCGTCTCAGGGACATCGATGCCTAGGCTGCCATCGGAGCCGCCATGGCTGGCTGGGACAGGCAGGCCCAAGCTCCACTCACCTCGGTCCAGCTGTAAGGGAGAAATGCATATTACCTTTGTGATAAAGAAGCAAGATGACTTTAGACACTAAAACCTACACAATGAAATAGATTATCCACAACAGCCATTTAAACAAACACCAAATGCCAAGTAATAAATCTTCTGAATAGCCAAACCTCAAACTGGAGTGTACAATACCTTAAATTATGGAAACTTCATGCCGTCAAGTTAAAAAATAATGCTGTCAAAGACATTTATTTGTAGGCTATTTATAAATAAATTCACGATGTGGCTCTTATGGATCTTCCAGGTACTAATCAGAAAATGGTGCACACAAGTAAAAATACCTACTTGTACACATTCTCAGAATAGACCCGCTGTTTTCACTGAATTCCAACTAGCTCTACACTAACCTTTCAGTTTAGAGTGAACACCTGATTAAAAGGTTGTTTTGGAACAATCTTTAATGGTGCCACAAACCCCAGTCCCACAAATAACCTACAAATGAAGCTAAATGGGGCCCCAGAGCATTCCTAGGTGCTTACCCTGTCAGTCGACCTCTCAGCCTCCTCAGGGCCCAGATTCAATGGCACCTCACTGGTCAGCAGAGCTGCATCGGTGGTGGAAGAAGAGCGGGGCCGACTCTGGTGAGGAGCCAGCCCTGGAGGCCCATCTTGGGGTGTCCGACGGGCCAAGTGCGGGCTGCCTCCTCTTGGTGCCTCGGCCGCAGGGTTGCTCTTGGTGCGCCGGCCGCTAGCGTGCAGGCTGGCGCCACGCCTGATGGGTGGGCGAGCACGGATCTGCTGCAGTACACGGTTGAATGCCGTGGGTCGGGCTGGCAGGTCATGCAGTGATACAGCATATGACACCCGGTGCATCTCAGGTGAACGCTCCTTCTCATCTGCAGATTCATGGTCTGAGTGGGACGCTGCCGCTGCGGCTGCTGGCCCCGCTGCCAAACCTGTCCCTGGCTCTTGGGGGCTCGGAACTTCTCGTTCGCGCGAGCGCCTGCGGCTGTGGAATAAATGCTTCAGTCCATGGCCAAACATGGAACCCTCTGACAACTGCTGAATCTTCTGCATGGGAGGAGGGGAGGATGCACAGTGAGAAATGTTTGGCCTACAGATGAACCGTTGACAATTATACACTTTCATTAAGTAATTATAACATGCAACCTCTAAAATTCACTTCAATTAAATGTAAGTTGTGGTTAGAAAAACATTAAAATGTTGAATTTCCTTCCATAAAACGGCAAAAGAAATTGAATTTCCAGAAAAATATTTTGATTATATATATATACACACACACACACACACAATATATTTTGATTATATGTATACACACATATAAACATATATATGCAAAGCTATATATAACTCAGAAATATGAACTTCATATTTAAAGAAATAATATAATATCAGTTATATCAGTGTGGTTATAAGTGTGTAGCAATGCTATTGGAGCATTAAAATGTTTTACTAGACACAGGACTATTGTTGTAAATCACACAAACATACAACACATTAATGAAGTGTCACCAAAAGAGGTACTGTATAGAACATTAATCGCTTGAGCCAAAGGGTTTACAAAAGAAGTAAAGAATAGTGTATTAGCACAAAGGTTCATGCAGAATGTTCTTATGAGTAGCATATTAGTTTTAAAATAACTGCTAAACATTTAAGTACCATGATTTCTAAAATAAATTACTAACCTATGGTTTCAATCCTGGAGATTAGAAAATATGATCATATCTGCCAATGAATTACCTACAAACTGCAGATAATAATGGTAAACGGAAGTTAGAATGGCCAGTAAAAAACAATAGTCAACAATCTTGGTTTCATATGATCCTGACTTTGACCCTGACTGTAATTCCAAGCCTGTGAAATCAATCAAACTTTATTTAGACTTGTTCATTTTCACAAGCAGAATTTCTTTATAGATGATTTCAAGGGGGGAAAATTGATATTACAGGGAAACTGAAAATCATGGCTGGATAAGAGTATTGTGATTGAAGCATAGGCCTATTATTTATTTATTGTATTATCTCGCTACAGACAATGTTAATTCATTCAAGTAGCATATACATAATTAAAATAAAATTACAAGGGAATTTACAGTCCATTAATTTCACAACAGTACTTAACAATCCGTAGATTTGTTCTGTTTTCACGTGTTATAAAATAAACTGTCTCCAATAAACGTGCCCAATACTCCACACAGCAGCACGCATACAAATGAAGTGTGCATTTCCAAGCAGATCAAGAATATGATCAAACTTCTCACAGCTCCGGGCAAAAGCTTGCTATGCCCAGTAATTTTATGTAGAAAAATAAATAAATGAAAATTGCATGTACCCAAATCCACTCCAGCTAAAATGCAAAACAAACAAACAAACAATAACCGCACACAGGCTGGGATATCGACCACGCCTTTTCAACCAACCATTCACACCATGCTTGAACACTAGATCATAACTAAGTACCTTTAGATCTGGTGGTTTGGTCCTGGTTACGGCAGATTGCGGGGTCTGGCTGGTGGGATTTACCTCGGAATGACCCCCAGGAGGGTCGCTGTGTTTCACCTCCACAATGAAAACACTGGGTGTATCCTCCTTCGCACCGCACAAAGTCGGGCTACCGCCCTCCTCAGTCGAAGTAAAGTCGTCCGATTTACAACGTTTCATTTTCAATTATAGTGTTGAGTTTATATGCATATATATTTACGTGGTTATCTAGTTGGCTAAGATAAACTAAAAGGGGCATCCTCCCTAGTCATATAATCTGAACGACGCCAGTCACCTGGCAAAAGAAATCGGTGACCTTATCGTTCATCGTCATCCTGTAAACTGGAGTTAGCTCGCTAATTAATGATGATCGTTAAATATGGGGCGCTCAAGCCTTTAAGTTAGTAAGCAACAGACATGACAAGCGTCCAGTTATCGTTATATGGCAACATCGGCAGTCCCAACTGTTTCCTGACTAGCAGTCAATAGCACATCGAACACTTCTCTATAACAGTCAAAATATTTCAACGAAAAAAAACATGTGTATGCTGTTACCAGTAATAAACAAAACTGGGAGTTCGCCCAGCAGACTAATTAAACGTAGGTCGCTGTCAACTCATAAATAGCTAAGTGGATGCATAAATAAATAATAAAATACACTAAAAAGATCGGTGGCGGCTATCGCAGGATGGTACACCCACATACGAACCCCGTCCGCCTTCTTCTCCAGGAATTACAGTCCTACTCCGCTAGCGCCGGCCGACTCATTTCCTCCGAACACAAACTTTATTCCGCTCCAAATGTTCGACTATAACCGAAGTGTCAGTCACGCGAGGCGTGCCACGGGCTGGCCACGCGCGTCAGTCGTACAAGCAGCGGATAACGGTTCTGCGGCTGCGGTAATACAGTTCTCTAGGACATCCGGGGGCTCAGAGACTCCCGTTCAGAAATGAAGAAAAAAACTGACACAAATAAATGTAAGTCTCTTGCTCTAATTTTTGAAAATTTTCGATTTTAGAAGTTCTCGTAAATAAAAAATACTACTACAGTCGGAAAACATTTAATAACATGTAATACACCTACGATGCTGGTACACAGTGCGACTTCAGCAGAGTCTGGGCAGGGACCGCTATTTACAGCTGACAGTCTGGAAACCAGCGTTGACGCCACAGATTCCAACCAATAAGCAACGAGTGCGTTGTGTCAAAAATACCGATTTTCCTTCGTTCACGCTCTGATGTTGAACTGTAACCCTTTACGTCCCGCCTTCCTACTTCCGCTTCTTGTACGGGGGTGAAAATGGCTGCTACCCGTTACCGTCGGTTTCTAAAGCTGTGTGAGGAATGGCCGAGGGATGAATCGAAGAAAGGACGTGATTTGGGAACATTTTTAAGACAGAGGGTAGCCCTGGCTTTTCGAGAAGGTGAAAACACACAGGTAATCTTCCCAGTGAGAACTGTAGAGGAGCCATGTCAAAAAAGAGGCTAGCAATGACTGCATCCTCTTGATCAGGGTTATTCAACTCACGGTCCTCGAGGTCCGAGCACTGCTGGTTTTCCAGCCTTCCTTTACCTGTCAGTCAGGTGTGAAGCCTCTGACCAATCAGAATCAGTAATTATCAAACAACTACCTGGGAGAACTGAAAACATGGCCTGGATTTGGAATCGAGGTCCAGAGTTGAAGAACCCTGCTCTAGATACACGCAACCTTGCTCAATTGCTGTTGGCCGCGTCATGTGAACTGTATAGCTATAAGTAGGTAATGAATCGATCATTAGGTTTATTCTCCTTATTCTCCGATTTTAGTGAAGTACTTTTGTAGAAATAGTTATGTTGCCAACACCATGGCATGTTGCATGTCCTTGACCAGGATGTTGTCAAAGAAATGCTAACTATAGTTAAGATTTTGGTAATTTAGCACAAGTCGGTCTTTATTTTAAAACCTTCACAATGAGAAAGACCTGTTTTTATAATCAGAATAATGGCTCTTAAAATATTAGACTGTTGTGTGAACATACGGATATTTATTTGTCTGTTAGTTAGTATAGTGTGATGTCTTTTTTCCAATGTCGTACCCTGCAACAGTCTGAAGGAACAAAGATGAATTTGTCACATTACACATTAGAAGCTTTGATTTTGGGAAATGGGATATTAACTGTCTCAATTCACACTTTTTCTAGCATAGTTTTATTTAGTTGTAAACTCATTTGTGTTCTTTTGTGATGTTTTTTCTGCCTGCATTTGGATGATGCTTTGTTACTTGTGTATGTTGTTCAGTCCCACCTAAATTTAGTGGGACCCAGAACATTGTGTTTGAGACCTGGACCGATTTGTACCTTGTGGAAATCTTGACCATGTTTTTACCCTCTTTTACTTGCAGATTTCGGACCCAGAGAAGTGTGATCAGATGTATGAGAGCTTAGTCCGCATCAACAACAACTACTACAAAGAGAAGGCATGTCCGGTGTGCTCGTGGTGTTGAATTGGCTGGTTTAAACTGTCTGCAGGTTGTCTTCTGGTTTCAAGACTATGCCATTTTGCTACTCCTGCTTCTGCTAGAGCTAATCATCCACGCATATCATCAATGTACCTATTCTGCTGCCCTTTATTGGCATTTAGTCTGCCAAGAGAACACTCAGTGTTTATTGTAAAACCCTTTCTTGATAAATGAACTTTTAGGTAGCAGAAATAAACCAAAAGATTGTATTTTGTGCATGATATATCAATTTTTGTTTTGCAGTTCCCTCGAGTAAAGGACACTAGCTTCACTGGTGTGACAGTTGAGGAATGTAGACTATTGTTATCTACAGGTCAGTACGTGAATCTTGTCAGGAGTGAATGGGAATTACCTTAACTATTTTAGTAAATCGTCATAGGCCTGTTTATTGCTTGGCCCTACAAAGCAATCTATGCTCCTGCACATCATATTTTTTCAGGAAGCATGCAGCAGATGGATGAGGAGAAGAAAGGTTTGTGGAAGACACTGATGCAACGCTTTTCCTCCAAGCCACCAGAAGAAGGTGCTGAAAAGCACACTGAAAAGTAATGCTGCTCACCATAGATCTCCACTCTGTAAATATCATTCTAATTTAGTATATTTTCAAATTACATTTTTTTCCATCCTCATACCTATATTGTACTTAAGCCAAAAAACTGTCCAATCTGTAAATATGGTTGCAGCTTTTAGAAATATACCGGTTTAATAGAGTTTTTGCCTCATTTTATATATTTTTTTTAACTACTGGTCAGGTCTATATGGACATACTCAAACAAAAGCCCCAAAACAAGCCCTTTTCAAGATTTCACAGGACCCAACCTCTCACTCGATTTCAAGGTGATTCTGTAGGGCTGATGAATGGTTGGAATGTGGTGTATCCTTGAATAAGACACTTGGCCTGAATTGTTTAAATATTCAACTTTACTTGCCAAACTTGAATTGGATATGTAAATGAAATGCAACTCCTGCCTCAAATGCATGTGGTGAGGTTGTTCCCCCAAACAGTAGAGGATGTCAGAAAAGCTAAAGAAGTTGAATGTAATTTACAAGAGATCTTTGTGCTAGACCTTGCTTGCTGCTAGACCAAAATACATATAAAATATCAGGAATTGCCAAGCAGAGGGTTGTGTATACAGTCTCTGCTTCACAAGGACATTGAAGGAATGAACATGCAGTATGTAACACAAATGGTATTCTACGATTGACAGGAAATACTTAGCAATATGCACTAAAGTGTCTGATACCCTATGCACAGATATCCACATGTTATGAAAAGCTAAAGACAGTTGTCGGTTTTAATTTTATTGTTTTACAAAACAAATGGAAAAGAGGAAATGATAAAGCTGTGAACCTCTTCATAGGACAGCGATTCTTTCTGTCCCACCTAGTGAGGCAGTGGGGCTTATAGAGTTTGAAGGGGGTTAATCGCACTTGGGCTCGGGGTTGTCTCTCCAGATGCAGTAGTTGAGGCAGGTGGCAAGGCATAGCCATGCCAGGTAGGGCACCATGAGCAGGGTAGCTGGACAGCTGATTGGGTACCAGGACACCATGGTGGCCCCCACGGTACCAGTCAGAATCACAATCTCTATCAATGCCTGGAAGGGGGGGGGATCCACGTTACAGCAACACTCTATAAAAACAGCATAACTGAGGATAAACACCTTTTTCTGTCTTCCTCTTATTCTGTCTTAATATTCAGTGTTCTATAAATGCATGTGCAGTTTCTGTGTAAGATTGTAAGATGAAATTCAGCTGATTGAATGGTCCCAGGAAGGAACCATTTGCACCTTTGGTGTTTAAGAATTGAGGATTCATCAAACATACTCACAAGTTTGATACTGTGAGCTCCAAAGAAGATGGGTGTCCAAGCCCAGTTAAGAGCCAACTGTAGCCCGTAGAGGCCCAGTGGCACCACTGCATCCTGGGTAAAGCCTCCAAGTTCCTTCCACACTAGGTAGGAGGCATAGCTGCATTGCACACAATATTAACATAGCACACATAACAGTGCAATGTTAACACAGAAAAACATCCATAGTCCAACATAACTAAAACCTGATGCAAAATGATAGTTACCTGGCAATTATAAAACTGAGAATAAGAATGAATTAAATGAGAATTACCTAACATTCTTGCATGCTTGTGTTTTGTATAAATTCACTTGCTTCTTGCTTGTGAAATAAACTAGTGGTAGTATTTTCTAAATGAAGATCACCCTCAAGGCACCATCCAACCCCTCCCAGGACCCCCTGCTTTTGACAGTCACACTAGTTGTAGCTGAGATTTCAACTACATGAGCATGATCTTCATAGAGACCCTATAGTACCACTCACCCCATGCCAGTGTAAAGCCCCATCCACACCACTGGGAAAGCAGAATTGGGTGGACCCCATGCTGGCTTGATGAGACTGGGATACCAGGTCTTCACCTCCCTCCGTGTGATGATGCTTCCACTGAGTCCACCCAGGTGAGGTAAAGCTGTGAATCCAAGCATTTGTGCCCACATTGCTGCAAAGACAAACATCATTTCCTTTGCTATGACATCAATCTTATTGGTGAAGACAGTTGCTCTGTCAATCAACACGGAGAGGTCATCTCCCTTCAGTGATGGCAGGTAAACTTTCCCAACTCTGGTCCTCTGGACACTATGCTCAAGGCACTACATTGTCACTTAAAGCTTAGTTAGAATACAACCAGCATGTTGAGTTCCCTCAATGTTTGGGACAGACATGCTTAACTGCTTCTGTGCTGTACCATTTTAGATTTGTACTGAAATTCATGTGTGGTTAAGGTACCCATTCTTAAATTTTATTAAAGGGTATTAACATTTGGTTTCATTATGTAGAAACTATATCACTTTCATACATTTTGGGGCACCATAATTTTTGGGGCACATCACAGGTGTTTGAGTACTTTTTGATGGCTTAATTAATGCACATATGAGCATCTAGCATCTAGGCCTAGTACTTATTTTAGGTTTTTGATAACCTTTTGGGTCTGCTATCGGCATTTGTCAACATGAGGACCAGAGTTGTGCCAATGAAAGTCAAGGAAGCCATTGAAGCCAGGTTGAGAAACAAATCAAACAGACATAAAACAAATTTTAGGCTTACAAAAGTAACTGTTTGCACCTAAAAATGCACTGGTGAGCTTTTAATCACAAAGGGACTGTTAGGCCATCTGTCGTAAGGCTACAACAAATAGACTTGCATGGCAGTAAGGCTCAAGTATATCAGTACTGTGCAGACAAGGAGGGAGAGGCAGGAATTGATGAATCAGCAGACACCAGTTTCAGCAAGAAGGAAACAACATCAGTGTTTCCCCTACCATTATATTAGGGGGGCGCCCCCCCCCCTCCCCCTTGAAGGTCAAGTTAATTTAATTTTATTTACTATATAGCGCCAGATCACAACAGAAGTCACTTAAGGTTACCTTTCCTATAGAACAGGTCTATACATTGTCCTTTTATTATACAAACTAAATAGCCTTATGCTATTTATCTTATTCATACAACAGCTTGTCATTTTTCTCTCTACACGGTCGCGCGTTTACAATTTTCCTTTGCTCTCTCTATCGCGCATGGCGGAGTTCCGCCCCAATGCGCGCGCACAAACACGTGCGCGCACACACAGGTAAGCACACTCCCACCGGCGGACAGAGACTTCTCAACCATGAACTGGGTAATAAATACGTTTCACAATAGGATTTTCTGCTTTAAACTATCACTATTTTAAGCTATCAGCTATCACTTTTATAGCCTAACAGTTAATGTAAGACAAACATCGGCAATAGGCTGAAGGAGTCCATCTTGCAGCCTGCATGTGGATTTCAATAAATAGGCCAGACGTTTCTGACTTCCCATATCAAGAGGCTCTAGAAATGTCCTTCCAGAAGCCCAGAAAGATACACTGCAGTGACAAAAGCTGCAGACTTTGTGGATAGCTGTCATAAAAAGAAATGTTCTGATGTTTATTTCAGTTATTATATTGACTGCTGTCATTAAAAGAAACACATGAACACCATGAATCCTGTTGGTGTCCGTCTGCCGCCCCCAAAGCTGGGAAACACTGAACATCCTTCACTTTTCATTGTTGGCAACAGGTTAAATGCGTGACGTCAAACAGCGAATCAGATATCACGAACAAATGTAATAAGTCGTGAATAAAATATGCAATGCTGTCATTCAGACAGATATCCGTCCAAACAGGTGCATGAGAAATTTTCTCCCGGTGCTGCCGGATGCTTTTAATGTAAATTCGCCAGAGTCGTCGAATTGCGTAATACGGAAATTTGCATACGTATTACGCTATCAAAATATATTTTAAAAGTGGGAGGGAAATGAAAGACAATAGTATACGAAGAAGTAAAAAGAAAGAAAGGACATATAAACATTGAACGGTTCGAGCGCTGGTAAATGGCTATAGGCTTACTGCTTGCCATTTCTATAGTAACTAAAGTTGGCACTAAGTATGTTGCGCTGCTGGTGCACCTCGCTCAAGCTAACAGACTACGGGGAATTCAGCTCTTCTACCACTCAAAACACATTCACGTTCTCTGTTTCACAGCATTGTACGTTAATTTAATTTGAATATAAAGTATGAAAAAGTTAAATCCCAGTGGCGTGTTGCTGTATTTTAAAAAAGTTAATTAAAAAAAAAAAGCAACGCGCATTCGGTACAATTAACTAACGAAAAACTGGTCACACTGATCACAGCTTTGGTTTCACTTACGATCACTGGGATTCACATTCCCAAACATTTTTGCGACCGTCATTTACCAATAGGGTTGCCATCAGTCCCTTAATAATACGGATCGTCCAGTATAGCACTTGCGGGCCGCAGCAGTTTATTTCCCAGAGCGGGACGATCCCCTATTGTAAGGGACGGGTGGCAACCCTATTTACCGCCCAAGACAAAAATAGGAGCAGGAGTCAACACCATGGCGAAATCTGACAGACGTCGTCATCAAAATCCCCAACAATGTATTTTAAAAACATAGCCTCCGTAGTTTTTCTTCCTCATTCAAAAATTTTGCAACGAACACAGACATTTGATCCCCGGATAAGAGTAAAGTATATCCTAGCATAAATAGGCATGCTTGCGTAATCATAAAAATGAGAATGGTATAAAGTATCGACGCATATCCAAATCTTACCTCCAGAATTTTATACTTGTTCAGTCCGTAAATATGATATATAACTGGAGGCGTGCTACACGACTACGTGCGGGTGGTTGAATGCCCGCCCCCTTATGCCAACGTTGTGTAACTATTAAAGTTGGTTCGGTTATATCACAACTGGATACGACGTGCCAAATTATATGGATTCCAACTTTTGAGCAGTACTAGACATCAGGGGCGCCGCCAGGGGGGGGAAAGGTTAGAACGATTCTAGGGGCCCAGCACTGACATGGGGCCCTGTTAGGGGCTTTACCTTTTCGCAAAAAGGGGGGGGGGGAATTCTAATCTTTCATGGGGCCCAAGATTTCTGGCGGCGCCCCTGCTAGACATACAAATACGACGTTATAACATAGGTTATAAAACAGCAAGATTCAGTATTTTTAAGTGTAATTCACAAAAAGCAATCACGTGTTCCTTAGAACTGCTTAACACTTCATGCATATTTTAAAGATTTGTTAAAGTTTATGCATATGAATGCATTCTTTTCTATAGATTATTTTCTATAGACGATACCTAGGCTATTTGGAAATCGGAAGCACAAAAGTTTATGGATATAAAATCCCACCGATCGAGTTCACCACCCAAAATGGGATGTAACGAAGCAGTAGTCACGAATGATTTATCGGAATCCTTTACTTTAAAATGAAAAGCTTTAAGTTTGAACTTTAAAGAAGTCATGTAATCTTAATGAAAACCGGAGCCGGCGTTAACCGAGTGAGGGTTCCGTGTGACCTGGCATCGATAAGGGGATGCAGCATAGCATTTTGTAAAGCAAAAAACGGCAGTAAATTGTTAGCCTATAGGAATGAAAATTACCTGAAATTTCCAATATGCAGTTTTCGTTTGTATAATGGATATAGCTAGGAAGGGGGGTGTCGATACCAATACATATTTTTTTCCTTTCAATAAACAGACTCACTGGCACCTAGGTCTCTTTCAGATATTTGATGCGAGGCATGACCACAATAGCCTATAGAATTACAGCCAAAGTTCCTCGCCTTGATTCTTTAACCAGGAATATTCTTAACCTTTACTAGATTAAGTAGGACTAACGTCAAAAAGGCATCCTAAGCAAAACACTAACAAGTGACATTTTCACAGAAATTAAAAGATACGATTTCCAGTGCAGCATTAATAGTCTTTCATTAGAATCGAAAGAGGATTGATGGTTTTTGGTGCAGCCTTGTAGCTGAACCTTATGTTACATATAAAGAACAGCGAAACAACACCCAAAGCTGTCCTATTTAAAAAAAATAAAACACACACACAGGCTTGCAATTATATCTTTGTAGTGACTCTCCATTCATTTCTATGGGGAAAACCGTAATCCCAACATGACGACCTTAACCCCTACCTTAACCTTAAACACAAGTAACCAAACAAAATACGAGCTTTTAGGCATTTTTACTTTTTTGATTGCATTCACAAATCCTAGTGAGGACCTGAAGATGTCCCTACAATGTCAAAACAGGTTTTTCTTTTGGTCCCAACCATATAATATCAATATAATCCACAGAAAGACAGAGACACACACACACTAGAAACCACTTCTGGCCCAAAACAGATACAAGAACCATTACTTTATTTCTGGTGTAAAGCCACAGGGATTGAACTGTTTTGCAATAATTTTAAACCGATAAAATGTTTCACAGAAGGTTGCATATCATCACAGTCATACTTAAAAAAGGGAGTGATGTTTTTGGAAAGAAATCTGAGGAAAATGCTCAATGTTTCCCTCTCATTTGTTGAATTCATGTCACTTTTTACTTCTTTAAACTGGGTATTCAAATAAAGTCCTTTATTTGCACAGCATGGCAGAAAAAAATCCTAGAGTCCCTCAGTAATATATATATATATATTATATAAACACACAATCACAAGTTTACTGATCAAATTTTAGGAAATATGGACTACCCTGTATCATCTAGCTGAGGTACTGGAGACATTCTGGATTATCAATTTGGAATTGGGGGGAGGGGGCTAGGGGTAAAACGTAAGGATTTAAAAAAAAAAAAAAAAAGCCTAAAAAAAACCCCCAATATATTACATGGCAAATACAGGTCAGAGGCAATGAATCTTTCATATGTGGCATTTGAATTAGTGTTCAACATGGTTCTTCGTGCTGTAAATAAGAAGCATTTCACGAATAATCATACAGCACTTCCACAGACACGATGGCCCGGGACCTTCCCTCTGAGACTATAACAAACACCCACATGATAACGGCCATTGCGATTCCCCCGTGCAAGCACACCAGGAACCCCTGCGCTAATTCTATCCCTCCCAAAAGGTCTGAGGCAGGTGTCCAGTCTTCTGAGGGATGACACAGCTGCCGAAGATATTCAGACCTGCAGTGCCTGGTGTGCAAAGATGCCTTAAGAGTGAGCAGAGTTTGGCACTGCGTCGGAGTGTAAGAGGGACAGGATCTCTACCAAACACATGCAAGATGAAGGGTGGATGGGGAAAATGCGTGCGCATTAAGGGTCTGGGTAGGACAGGAGATATTCAAAAAACTAAGGTAAGAGAGTGTACTTAGAATGTGTGGATGACAGGTGGGTCCTCAAAAACCAAGGACAAGTACAGATGTAGATTTTAAATTTCAGCAGATTTTAGATAAGCAAACTAAATGAGCTCCGATTGTCTCGTTCTGCAGAGGAGCAGTGGCAGAACGAAGGGGCACCAGCAGCAACCCGCTACCCTGTCTGTCCATCCCACATTCCCTGGAAGGTGGTTCCTGAGCTGAGTGGTCACAGTGAGAGGTGAGGCTTCCTGCCAGGGCTCCAGCCCTCAGCTGAAAAACCTGCGGTAGACAAACTGGCCTATGAGCACCACAGCCAGCAGGGCCATCATGTAGTTCACGTAGACATTGTCCAGATCGAGAGCAGCAACCTGGGACAGAGGAGAACAGATTACTAAAAAGCCATCTTGAGCACCGGTGTGTGCCGGCTGCAGACTTCGGTGGTGCCATTACCCAGCCTCCCTGCTGCGCGATCCACTGGGCGATGCGGTTCCGCAGGAGGTAGTCGCCAATGAAGTGTGCGATGCTGGACAGGAAGCCAGTGATGCCCTGCTGAAAGACGTGCAGTGCCATGCGGTAGCCGAAGCTGAGCAGTGCGATCACACGGCCCCAGTTTATCCCAGAATCAAACAGGCTGGGGAGACAGTGAGAGACATTCAGGCAAGCCACAGCATGTTGTCCAATGGGAGACTAGAGACTGGGGCGGGATAATAGTACTGTGATTTTTTTATAGTTTAATATGAAATATGATAATTCAATTTTACATCATTTAACAACAAATTTACTGCAATTACTAATCATTTTCCCCCTCCAAGTCACTCAGCAGTAATGCACAAATAAATACAATTCATTAAAAAAATGCTAAATTTATCGATAAGCAAAATCTGCCAAGGTAGCCTTGTGCGATTGCTAAGCTCACTGTATATCATCAGAGAATGGCCTAGGTTCAAGTTACACCGGCATCCACAAAACCGGCAGCACTATCACTTAGAGCACATAAAAATGCCAAACTGGTTTATATGTGACACTGTTACAGTGAATCGCTCGATGTTCAAAGGTTTATATGTGACACTGTTACAGTGAATCGCTCGATGTTCTAAGGTTTTTTCAAAGTGGAGCCACTCATGCTGTCGCATCCTTTTCACCCGAACATTTACCTGCACCTTCATCCCAACTAGAGCAGGGGAAGCATAAGAAAGGAGGAGACAGAAGATGGTCAAAATAGAGGCTGCATTAAATGGAAGGACAAAACTCAAGATTAGAGAATTGTAAAAGGAGTGCAGCCATGGAGACTGAGTGGATGACGGCATGATTACAGAGAGTTGCAAGGGGTTTCTGCAATCAAGGGGACAGAACAAGCATGTGGTTAAGGGGGATTTTTGCAGGTTCCATATCTTAAGATCAGTTCTTGGCAAATTCATATTGCACTCAATGGTGAAATGGCTGACAACATGGGATATAGATGCCCCAGTTCATAGACGACAAGAGTGCCACCAATACACCAAGAACTTCTCACAGTACCTGTTGGCAATCTTGCAGAAGTAGTCGTAGGCATTGTCAGGCGTCAAGGCAAGCTGGGACAGCATGCCCGAGAAGTCATACCGCCTGTTGATGTCGTCACCGATGATGGCCAGCTGCTGGCCCACACGGCACATGGGACTGCAGGGAAAGAAATGTCATTTGTTAATGCAGCCAGAATCAATGTGAATTGAGGCTATACCAGAGGTCAATGACCCCTGTGTAGAGTCAATTCAGAAATCTATCCACTTTCATTTGGTTAATCATTCCAACAGAAAGGATTCTGATTGGCTTCTAATGTTTACAATGAGATATCCTCCTGAGACCCGACCTATTCATTTATATCCATTGTAGTGGACATTGTATTTTTGCATTTAGTTTTTCACTGATGTTAGGAAACATATTTATTCCTGTTGTGCACTAAAGAGGACATGCTGCGAACTTAAAAATAAAAATTAATTTGAAAAAATTTAATTGTAAGATGTCTTATTTCCTCCAAAGACAAATATCCTACAATTGAAGGACACTTTTTTTCCTTGGGTCTCAGGAGGATATAATGCCCTCAAGCATGCGTTTCTTATTTAGCAGATGTTGTCAAAGGAGACATACAAGTGAGGATCAGAAAGTAATGTTACTGGGGTTATGGACCGTGCAGTAATCATATAGCATGGAACCACAAATGGATAAGCAATGGCTGCTTTAGTCAAAGCACAAGCTGGTTAGTCTTTTGCCATTGTCACAGATCATTGGAATAGTCATTAAAGAGGTTTAAGCATTTTTCTTGATAGTTAAGGGCAGCCACACTGAACACCCCAACTACCTGCTCTCATCTGGCTGCAATGCTACGATCTCTGGGTTGGGTGTAGACTGTTCGCCCTGCTCCATCTCCTGGTGGTAACGGTACCGCACATAGCTGCAAAACACCGCCTCTGCTTCCTGCACCACCTCTTCCTCTGGGAAAATTAAAAAATACACAATTACGAATGACACAAAGCCAGACTTCAGCCCTGTGCCTCAACACACCCAAGAAGCCATCAAATCCATCTTGGGCAATGCATAGCAAGACATGCTACTGTAGCTAATCCGAAAATTTTATGCATACAATATAAATGTGTGTGGCTGAGAGGGTAGCACAGTTGTCTCTGGCAGTGGAGTTGTGTGTATGCAGACACTGTATGCTTTCCACGTCATATGCCAGTTGGTTAAACCAACTGGCATCTCTGACTCTACATGCAGGGACGCCAGTAGGAGCATGGATACCCCGGCAGATTAAGGGGGCCCAGCACTTTATAGAGGCCAAAACACATTTGCAAAATTGGGTGGGAAGGCCCTAGATTACATTCTGCCAAGGGCTCAGAATTTAAAGCTACACACCGGTGTGTGTGTGCATATGTATGTGACCTGCAATGGTCAGGTAACCACCAGGAATTAACTGGAAGCCAGAAATATTACCAGAGCTGCACCAGAACTAAAAAGCTAAAATAAGTGCTAGGCAGGGGTCTCCAACTCCAGTCCAGGAGAGCTACTGTCCAATAGGTTTTCCATCCTACCTGGCTTCTGATGAGTCACACCTATACTCAAGTAAATACCAGGAGCAGGTGTGGCTCATCAGAAGCCAGGTAGGATAGAAAACCTACTGGACAGCAGCTCTCCAGGACCGGACTTGGAGATCCCTGTGCTAGAGGGATTTAAAATGATACCTGCTTGGAGCAAAACCGGTGCAAATAGGTCACAAGTTCATCAAGTAGCAACAGTGGTAAATCTAACTCTGCACACCCCCATTGAATGGACTAAATCACAAAGCACACCATACAGTCAAGGTTAGCTTCACATGAGATTTCTCAGCTAGCTCCAGCAGTATGCTAATAGCACAATCTCCTGCTTTCCTTCATTTAGAGCAGAGAAAAGACTCTGACATCAGGGCAAAGCTCTTACCTGGGTCTGTGTGCAACTCATCTTGACTGGGACTTTTCCGATTGGGCTTCAAGGGGTCATCTTTACCCCCTGTTGCCATGACGCCACCAAATCAGGTGTTCCCTGTAAAGCACAGATTAGACCCAAGTCTTCTTATTTGATTATTAAATATAGTTAATATTGCAATTAACTATTTAAGGAATTTTAGAAAAGTGATACTTTACTAATAGCCATGGAGAAATTCTCTTTTCACTTTGCCCCATCTTGTTCTCATTAGAAATGACAAGCTTAATGGTCACAGCGAGAGAACAGTCACCTTGCGACACTCAGGGAACTGGGGGTTAAGGACCATGCTCAAGAGCCCATAGACATGTGACTATTCTACCTAGGCCAGGCTCAAACCGGTGACCTACCGGTTATATACAGAGGCTTAGCCGCCTGAGCTACACACTGCACACTATTTCGGCACAATACATGTAATGCGTACATTATACAAGCACACAAGTAACCCTGGACAGCATGGAAGTATGACAGGGTAGCACTGACACCTCACTCCAGTGAGTTGTGGGTTTGATTCTTCGTACTTGATATTCTCAGTGTCCTTCAAATACGTGTAGATCTGCATAACATGTGGATGTCTGTCAGCATATCCATGCGAGCTCTGGCACAGACTGGCATTCCATCCACGATGTGGTCCAGCCACATGGCCTATGCTTCTTCCGGAAGGCTTCTGACACCTGCCAGTGATATGCCACTGGAAGCAGAGTGGGTGAACAAACCATTTCTAAAGCTTTTCTATCCCTTATAAAGAGTGTGGGGGTAATGAATTTATGGTTTTGATACACATGTGACCATAATACTAGTTACTCAATGAATAATATTTAGGTATGTGTTTAAGCCTTTAAATGTGACAGATATTTATATAATGCAGTAATCAAAAGAGATTTGAGAATTTCTCTTTACATACTTAACGCACGTTTCATAGCACAGGAGACAAACAATTGGCTTAACAGACCAGAGCCACTTAGTCAAATTCACAGAACATTCAGTTGTTCACAGTACAGCCCACTGTGAAATACTATACATTTTGCAGACATTACCACATAATTCCGTGCAACACTTTCCCTGGCATTCTTTACAGTATTACCATGTAATGTTATCAATACTGTTCATTAATGTCTAAATGTCTATATCAGCTAAATATGTATGCAGTGGTAATGTTAACGTGCAAATTCATTTGGGATTAATATAGTATCTATCTACAGTACAAAACAGTTGTAGAATTTAACACTTAAAGGCATTTTTAAAAAACAGATAGGCCTTATTTCGCCATAGTGACCATTGTAGCGACGCTAAATGTTACACATTGGGCTTCTGTGATTATGTAATCATTTTCGTCGCATGATAAAAAAAAGAAACTTTACGAAATGAGCAGCGCAAGGGTTTTCCTCATTCATAACACGACATGATGGCGACATTATACAGAAATCAGACACTCTACAAGAGATGTGCTATTCAATGAGGGCTACCACAAAGTTTACGACATATTACCTCAATAAAACAATTTCTGCGGCTAATCAAGCATCCAAATAACATGACCGGCGCTGGCACCATGGGTGTCATTAGGTCCGATCACTGGGGGCTATAGTCCCGAGTATTTTACCCCCGATGCCAATTTTCCTTCAAAAAAAAAGTCAAGCCCAAGTTTAATTTGACTTAGCCCCTGATTTTTTTTCTATAGCTAGAAACGCCCCTAACTTGCACCAGAAATTTTGGCGACCATCCACAGGAGCAGCTGCAATGGCCACAAACACACTTTACATAGCCCAGCTTTGCAATTTTCTAAAGCTAGAACTTCACCAAAGGTTTGACATTACTTTAATAGGCCTAACTTCAACCATCCCATCGCTCCGACACACCCCCTCACTTGACAACCATCGCCACTGGCTGCCAGCTAAACAACAGGCAGGCCACACCATGTACACGGCTCCGTCACCAGCATCCACTCCATACTGCAGATATCAGTAAACACTGACTCCACAGCAGGTGTATGTGGGGGTATCCTGGCCTGACTCCAGTGCTGTCATATGGGTACCTCCACTTAACATTCCCATCATGAAGGAATTTTCAACACAATACATGACGTCTGGCAGAGATGTGGAAATTGTTCTCAACCAATTTCCCGAATTTCTGTAAACATGCAAAGACTAACGTCAAACCTGGGGATAAAATTCATCAAGACCTCAAAAAAGTAATCAATAGAGATGCTACGGACCCTCTGAGGCTGAAAGCTACGGAACGCGATCGGATACAAAATTGGCTATCATACGTGTTATGATGCACGATGTCTAGTTGGGAAAACGGAATTAGTACACGCCGGTACTCCGTGGGACCCATAACGCCATAGTACCGGATATCTGAATGATCGACGTGAAATACGCCATATTGACCGAATGAGTCCACCTGAAAACCCACTGCAATTTTTGCTTTAATATGGCTTTAACATTTACGATGTATTGTCATCAGAGCGATCAGACTCGTGTTTCACTTTTGTGTCTTCGTATTAGATACACCACCCAAGACACAGGCCTAATTTGTTGATTCTAAGGGAATCGACAACCCATTTCATTTTTCACATAGAAAAAAAATGTTAAAGCAATCAAAAGTAACTAATTAGGGGCCTTCATAAAACTTTCCATATAGTTGTCTAGCCAACTAACTGCATGACTGGAAAACACCAGACACAAATCAATTACTATAGGTGTAAGCTCCTATCTAGTTCCGTACGACCATAAAGAAAAAAATATCTAAATTGCGAATAAACGATTAATAGTTTATAAGAAGGACGAGAGCGCTGGCCAGCTGGCGGGCCGGCGGCCGATTCCTCCTTAAAGACTCACCAGGCGAGTGGCTACAAGCAAAGGCTTTTCCCGGGAATGATTCCACTGTCCTACCCGCTTTAAGGCAGATACAACTTTAACAACAAGTAACAACTGAACGCAACATACTTACCCGCTCTGTGCTACCAGTTCCAAAAACACTTTATGGTATAGTTTTTAAAAATAAGAACTATAAAATAAAACCATAAACAATTATTTTTATAGCTTTATTTTGAACTACAAAATAAAAACTATCAACGAAGACTCTTCCTTTCTCCCCGTTTAATGTCTGCTTCTGATCCAGTCAGCTCCCGCTTATTACTTTCCTTCCACTTCCGCGTCCCGCCCCGGTAAAACACAGAAACTACGTCGTCTGGTGCATCCATGCTGTCTTAACGCCAATGATGTGCATGACGTGCCACCAATCGGGGGCCAGAAATGCAAGTAAAATAGACCAATCTTGCTAAAGGTCAAATGGTTTCCAAAAATACGATCGTACTGTAACAGTAATGTTAGGGGAGATTGGGGACCGGAGTAAAGTTAGCAGTGGGTTCGATATTCGCCAGACATTCACAGATCATCTTTGAATTTACTCTATTAAAACATTACAAAACAAAGTAAATTGCACATTTACAAATTCGTGTGTGTTTGTGAAATCACATGCACACCTTGGTTATTCAATTATTATATCCAGTACATTGTGAAAAAGCAAAATAATGCAGCTGCTGGTGTTCCACCTGCATATAAAAATAATGGACATGTTACCTTATACCACGATTTACAGTTTCACGAGTGTTATATGGGCCATGTATGTGCTTGTCATTTCTTGTAAGTATGTGCCACATTGGAATAGCGTTTTAGACTGTTTTGTAATAATCGTTTGTTGAAGAACTTCTTTTTTAAATTTGGGACTTTTATTTTGAAATGTCGCGGTCTGTCAAAACCCAAGCGAATGAGTTAATTCATACCAGGAGCTGCATTATTTAGCTTTTTCATAGTTTATTGGATATAATAATTGAATAACCAAGGTGTGCAGTAAATTCAAAGATTATCTGGGAATGTCTGGCTAATATCGAACCCACTGCTAACTTTACTCCGGTAAGATGGGGGTGCAGGAGGTAGTGTTGTCGTTCGGCATCCATCCAAGTGTCCTTGAGCAAGACACTGAACCCTAAATTGCTCCCGGTGTGCTGATTGGCGCCTTGTATGGCAGCCTTCGCCACCGGTGTATGAATGTGAGTGTGGATGGGTGAATGTGAGGCATGTATTGTAAAGGGCTTTGAGTACTCGTAGGAGTAGAAAAGCGCTAGATAAATGCAGTCCATTTACCATTTAAAGTAATTTCTAATATAGTTTAATGCAGCGACTCTTTGAAATCGCCCCTTTAATTACGTTAGCTGGAGTTTAATATATTAAGATGCTTGGAAGACCAAAGCAGTCGGCGAAACCAGCGGCAGTGATACCTGGAGCGGGGTGTGATCTAATTTATAGTAAATATTAAATTGTTTTTCCCACTCTACTGTTGAATTTTCTCTGAGATCTCGCGTACTACCAGCAGTGTAGAGTGAGGAAAAATCCGATCTTTACTGACATGTGACCCCGGCACAAGTTTGATCATTAAAGTGGTTCCCAATAGTATTTGTCACCCTCACCCAAAAAGTGACCCTGATTACAATGACGTAAAACGATGTAGTGGTAGCGTACTTATGGTGCCAAGTGGTTTTTCAGAGCTTAGTACCCGAAGACAGCTATTATTTTTGGAACTTTACATAAAAGTGTGTTATATGTAGGTCTACGTATCAGTTATTCGATCAGTCATATATAGGCCTAGTTATAATTGTTTCAATTATCCTATTTAATCGCTAGTTTATAACTGCCGAAAATTATTTATTGAATATTAGGCCTACTGTTTTCATTGTTTACCTATTTCTGTTAGTTGATGTGTACAAACTATATAAAATGAAACTGACGCGTTACAAAGGTATGAGTAATATCTGACCTATAGCGTGCAACGATAACTATGTAGAATGGTACGGTATTCATCCGGTGCAGTAGGTGGCAGCATCGCATGTCAAGTACACTACTAACTAAAATATCAACGTCGAAGAAGGAACAGAAGCGTGTGCAGGGGCCGCTGTCTTCGTGTGCGCGACAAAAATGAGTGGAGCAGTCAAGAAGGCAGCAGGGTCGTCTGGTATCTTGGAGTGGGCGGCTTCTACGTATCGGTTCGCCATGGACAGGAATGATTTTAGAAGGTAAATGTAAAATACAGTTTGCTTCACCGAAGAGCGCGAATCCATAGTGACCTTTTCATTGCGCTGTTTTTAATGATCCACGGTAGCGCTGCGTCGGCATCACTACTATAAAAGAAGCCTATTTGCAATTTAGAAATTACAATTGTTACCCCAATTATTGCCATTATCTTTACCTTCTTATATAAATTCCAAACATTTACAATTAAGGCTCATATTTCGAATTTCCACCAGGGATTAGTAAATGTTTGTCTTTGGACAATTACAGTAGCAAATATTACAACCTCATATAAATATAATCAACCTAATTATTTTTGAGAACAGATTTTGCGGGCACATCAACAGTTCAGGTTTTGTTACATTTCTCCGAACTTGCTTGTTAAATCTGATTCTCTTGTCTACCTTCAGGAGACCAGATCACATTTTAGGTCAGTAATGTGGTACAGACGGGTGCAGTATGGGCATGGATACCTTGGCAGATTCTGGGGGCCCAGGACTTTACAGGGCCCGTGAAATTAAATTAGCTGGGGAATTTTGAATTGTAGACGTTTTACAGACCTTCCTTTTGCTTTTGTATTGTTCTCCTAGGACAACTGCCTGCTTAAAATTTCAATTTCAACTGCTGGACTGTCTGCTACCCTGTTTTTGAGATGTTCATTAGGTGTTTGTGGGATGTTACTGTAGCAGCCATTGTCTGTGAATTTGTCTGTCTTTTGCATTTTGGAATCTTTGCCAAAACACTTTTTTAAAATCAAAGTTGTATACTTGTGAACCATACAGAAATGTTCAACAAATAACAGTATAAAATGTTTGCCTTACAGGAACCTCCTGGTGAATCTGGGCCTCTTTGCTGCAGGTGTCTGGGTTGCTAGGAATTTATCAGACTTTGATCTAATGTCTCCCCAATCTGTCTCCTAAAGAAAGCTTCTTCAATTATCCTGATGAGGTAATAGTACCATGCAAAGATCTTTCTGTTTTGAAAATTCACTCAAGTAAAATCTGACCATGGTAGGAGTATATGATGGTAGTGAAGATTATGCTCAGTCTAACTATTATTCCTTTGTTATTAGTAAGTCTTTGTCCTTTGTATTTTTGAACAAAAATTTGTAACAGTAATCATGCAACTGATAGTGGCGGTAACAAGGTTGTTGTAATTGAGCATTTAGTAAAATCTTAAGAATCAAATATTCCAGCTCTTTGTACGCGTCTTCCTGATTAGAAGTACGTACCACTGAACAATTACTGCAATAGAATATGACTCCTATCATTTATTACTGTATAAGCAAATACCCAAACATCCCCATAGTACCCTGATTATGTGAACTGACATGTCTGGCTATTTAGAAAATAGTGATGCTCCTCCTTCAAATGTTATATCTCCAGGTGTCCGTGACCAAAACGCTGTAGAATCCTGGCTTGGATCTCCTTGGTGGCTCTGACATGCTGAGATAGTTCATCTGCAATAAATGACAACATTTGTGGAAACTTATCTGTTTTCTCCCATGAATATCGTTTGACTCGTTTGATTAAACAGAAGTACTGTACATTACAATGGACTATACACTTCAAACATCACATGAGGAAGTACTTAGAGCTATAAAGATGAGTCCTTTAGTCGAATGCCATTTGACAGTATGTGTCAGTTATATAACCTGAATCAGCTATGACATACATTGGTTACAAAGCTTACTGACAGGAATAGGATATTTGTTAGTTTCACAAAAGTTACAGCTTTAGAAATTACAGCTGATTTAAAATATCACCAGGGGTACCCAGTCTCAGAAAAAAATAGTCTTTTCTTTATGCAGTCAATAAATGATCCTACTCCTGGGTAAGTTTCATGTTAGGGAAAATGTACTGGTACAGCGCATTTTCATGCCCAGCACAACGAAACACCTTTGGATCCTGTTTGGCAACCCTCCCCCCCAGTCCGACGTGGTCCAGTCCCACCCTCCAGAAGTGGCCATCCATCTCCAGCAGCCAGGTGTTACGTCGGTGTCCCCTTGGCCTTGTCCAGCCGCTTGGGTCCTCAAATATGAGGATCCTGAGAGCCGGGTCACCCTCAGGGAATCACGCCACATGGCCGTAGGACCATAACTGACACTTCCTCATAAATGCAGGTAATGTGCCTCATTCGGGACTCCTCTAGCAACCGCTCATTCGATACAAAGTCAAACCAGCGGTTCCCAGGGATTCTCAGAAGAGACACAGTACTGAAGGAGTCCAGTCTTCGTCTCAGGTCACTGTTTTTTTTTTTTTATTTTGTCGCCCCCTATATATTTTCACCACCTGTTTAAAAGGAAGTGACCTCGTTATTGGTTAACACACTGAAAAGGCAGTATTTTAAGGGATCCACTGCGAAGTTATGGTATTTTTATATCATATTTACTGCACTGCATGTATTGGCGACAAACTAGAACTCGAAAAAATGTTCATAAATACGGCTTTTTTTGAATTATGAGTTAATACAAAGAATTTCTAAATAAGGCATTTCAAACCGAAACTAAGGGGTCCAGGAAGTAGGACTTTGGGAAGTCCAGCGTTGCTGGCCAAATCGGTGAGTAATTGTGCATTTTTGAATGTATTCAACGATGTACGGGTTTATTTAATTGTTTTAAATGCAATCGCAAGACAGGAGAAGGCATATATAAAGGTATAAGAGCATTACATATTTTAATATTAATTATAGAATCCGCTGGTAGAACAGATCACACTAGATTTGAATACCGTTAAGCGAGAAGACGGAAACTTAATTAGACCTGAGGAAAAATACTTGGTTATATTTGTTTGAAGTTGGGATGAGGTTGTGTTTACCTTAGAAGAGTTTTTTTAAGGTAATGCGATCAAAGATAAGCATTACTAGGAATTACTATAGTTTCGTTTTGTCCATTTGAACCGCAACACCAGTTACAGGGGGATATCTTTTCTCAAAATCATTCAAAATCGTTCGTCATCCGTGTTAAAGTGTAATACACATTATAAGCGATAAACTTGAATTGTTCACTAATATGATTCGTTAAGTTCGCTCAATGCATAGTTAACATAGTACTGTTTACAGTTCTATTGTATTTACTTTTATGTAATTTTAATTTGATTATGTGGTTCTGTATACTTTAAAATACAATATATTTCTAATCCACATTTTATGTTTATACGGATTTTTAAATTAATTATATTAGCTATAGTGACTCTTCCAGATGTCCTACATCATTACGCCCCAGGGTGGCGTAAGAGGGGCTCAGCTGCAGCTCCCTGTGTCAAGCACGTAACTGGATTTGGCTAATTAAAATATACAGCTGTCTAAGTTAGAAAAGTAATAAGATATTAAATGCGTAATAGCACAGACACCCCTGGGGGGATGGGTGGGACACATTATATTCATAATACTAGTGTTTGTCCCACACAGAATTTTACTGGGGTTTTTTTTTTTATATATATATGAATAAATATGTAGGGAGAATTTGGTTCTTATGTAACCTACTGACCAAGGGGAAAACACTGTAATTTCAGTAACATACGCATGAACAAATGTATACAGTCAAAATTGAAACAGATGGGTAGCCAATACATAGGTACAATATATGAGGTCATACAGTGCAGGGGTAGGCAAACCTGATCCTGGAGTGTCGGCATCCAGAGCAGGTTTTCCATCCTACCTGGTATCTCATCTGGTAGGATAGAAAACCTGCTGTACACCAGCACTCCCGTATCCGGGTTGCCTACCTCTGTCATACAGGATAATGTGAGGAGACAGATTTCACTCAGTCACTAAATGGATCTGTCCCTTTCCATCCAATGTTGAAGACACATTGACTTATGCACTTAACATGTATATTTATTTTAGGATAATGTCCAAGCCTTTTGTTTCCAATCTTGTTGTACTGTCATGCACAGTGGCATTGAAGAATTGAATGTTTTTTTTTTATTATTATTTTGCAGGCCACCAAGAGAATTTAGTCTTAGCTTATCAGTATACACACAACGGAATCAGTGGGTAACAGATTTGCACTCTGAAATTCCAGTTGTTCAGATGAAAACAACTGTAATGATCAAAGAGGGGAAAATGGCTTGGGGAATTTCTGAAACATCTGGTGTTTCCTTGGTGTGAGTTAGTGAAATGTTGTGTTTTCGTGGTTCTTTATCCCCCTTTGTCATGTGGTTGTCATTTTCTTTTAGAAATGCCAATAGGTGTCGTAACACTGTCATCATGCACTAAATACTTAATTGGTGCCTACTTAATTACCTTGCATTAAAAAAGACAGCATATATGAAGTCCACAAGTCTGAGTATTATTATACTGCTGTATGGTACTCAGTTTAACAGTCCTATTACTGAAAAGGGGGTTTGATTCATCTTCCTACTAGACATATGAGGTGGTTTAATTATGTACTTCAGAGATGTTCACATGCAATGGAATGGGAGTTTGTTTTAATAGGTCAGTCTATGGGTTGTGGTACCGCTGCTTGCTCATTTACTAGAACTTCAGGGGCCTGATTTTCTAAGCAAGGTGAATTAGCGTGAGGGTACAATAAAAAAAAAGGCCAATGGGAGTGGTCAGTTCTGCCGGTGACCTACTAAAAATGTACAAATTAATGAACACAGATGCTTTCATTTCATTTAAGTAATGACCCACCCAATCGACCAAAGGCAGTGTAAAATAAGGCATGCTTTTTTTGGCATTAAATAATAAATCAATTTGGGGTAAATTGCCGAACCACAAACCTTAGTTAATTATGTTTGCTTGATTAATTTAAAAACTCTCCTCCCTCAAATATTGCGATTTGAAAGGGAACTTCTTTCATGCCTTTGCATTGCAAATTTTTCACTGTGCATCTTTAGTAAATCTCGACAATACTGTTTTAACGCATTCCAACCAAGAGCTGTGGTGGGAGGTTCTTATATTGGGTGTTTGTTTCTTGTGGTACATACTCGTGGTCTCCAGCAGACTGCTGGAGTGGGTAGTCATCTGGCTGCACACTTCCAGGGTTGTGGTTCAGTTGGTTCACCTCCTGCTCTGCTTGTGGAGTTTGCATGTTCTTCCTTCCCGAAATCCAAAGACATGCCGTTTAGGTGAATCGGTGTCCCTAAATTTCTTGTAGTGTGTGAGTCATATAATGGTTATACTTGGGTCACAGGATTTTTAAATCAGGATGTCTGGCTGCCCTAAATGTATACATATTTGGTGGACAATACAAAGAGCAAATATGGGAAGGCAAGTGACCCCGGTTTATGTTGACTAGACCAACCCGTAACGTTTAGTGATCAACTCCTGTGTTTCTGGGAATGAAGTGAGAATATATCCAAAAAGGTCACACCCTGTGAAGGTGGGGCTGTGCTGTAACGGGACACGTCATACTGATACCCCACACCCCCCAGCACTTCCACAATGGCATCTATTGAAAAGCTTCTCTCTTTTTACTAATCGCCAGCTGATATTTCTGCATCCCATATAGTCACAGTAGCTTATGTCAACAGTCCTGCTCTCACAATAAAATATTTTGCATTTATACATTTAGAATTCAATTTGCCATTTATAAATTTGAAATTGGACCAAAGCTAGTGTTCATGAGTACCAATGTGTTTGCGTGTCTTTTTCTTCCACATGGGCTAGTCTTACTCCCGCTGGTCTCAGGCTCTCTTCTGTATGTTCACGGGCCTGTGGTCTAAACTGCGTTAGACGTCGGCCTTTGACTCTCCATGGAACATAACAAAGGTGAAAAGGTATTTAAACAAGCCTTTTTCTTACATTGTAATAATATTACCCCTTGACTGCTTATTAGCCCTTTTTCCTTTGAATTTGGATGAGTGAAGCTGTACGGTTTTATAAGTGAGGTCTTGCTAGTGCTTTTTAATCATGGCATGATTTCTTTAGAATATATATCCAGAACTGCCTCACAGACATAAATGTATCTATTTAAAACAGATGCTATCATCTGTGCCTCCTTATAGTAATTGCAGTGTATCCTCTTCTTACTAACTAGCCCTTAGAGGAGTGCATGTGAGTGAGACCACCCTCATGAAGGTGTGCTCATGTGCACATGAGCACACTTGCTCACGCGTGCCTTCGCACACGCATTCCAGCACCTGCCCACCTGTCCTCCTTCCCCCAGTGCTCCCTCCCCCAGCTCCTGCTTCACTGCTTGGAAGAATGCACCGAGGTGGAGCTGAAGCACTTCAAGTGGCATCTCGTCCAACTCAAGCTGGACGACTTCGCTCCCATTTCCAGGAGTCGCCTGGAGAAGATGGACATGCTGGACCTGGTTGATAGGATGTTGATGACTTACTGCCCGGAGGGGGCTGTGAAGGTGGTGCTACACGTCCTGAGGAACATGCAGCAGAATGAGCTGGTCCGCAGGCTTGAGAGGGACTCATCACTACGTAACTATGTTTTTCTGCATTTTCTGCGTAAACATAAACATCACAGCAAAAGTTGCACTAAATATCCATTTGCCTAGACACAAATACATACATGAAACTACAGTACATATATAAATGAAACAAGTCTTGCTGAAAAGTAAATTCTTATCTCTACTCTGGCACCTGCTTTGACTTTGAGAGTTTGTGCATTTCCATCCACAAAATGTGTCACATGTCTGCTCCCTTTGCCAGCCAGCACCAGGCCTGCTTCTTCCTATCACTCATTAGCTCATGTTTCTCCCTCCAGTCCTCTGCCAGCGTTGCCCAGACCAGAGCATGGAGTCGGGGGATTGTAGTAGTGACTCGGAGGACAGTGTCTACCTGGATGCAGAGGAAGGAAACTCTGTTTCGGAAGTAGCGCGGGGGCAAGGTGTTTCTGAGGAGAGGGAGGAGCAGGGTCCTGTCACTGCCACGAGTCTCTCTGAGGAGCAGAAGGAGGATATCTGTACAAAACATGAGGAGGGGGGGTGTGCTGCCTCCCAGACCAGTATCTCTGAGCTGAGGGAGCAAGGTGCTCCTGCTGAGAAAGAAGCAGAGAGGCTCCTTATTGTCACAAGTGAATGTGGGAAACAAGAAGAGGATCTTCTCCAACAGGAGGAGGCGGAGAGACCTACCTTGATCACAAATCACTCTGCGGTGCAGAAGGAGGGTCTTTCTACTGAGAATGAAGCAGAGTGTCTCATACCAGTCACAAGGGAGTGTGGGAAACCAGAGGAGGGAGGTGCTACCTCTGCCTCCCATAGTGCAAGCTGTGGTGCCTCATCAGAAGGATTGGGGGGTGCTGGACCTGGACAGCATGATCCCTCTGAGGCAGGTGGGGTCGTCATTCTTCAGAATGAGAGGTAAGAGGAGATGCATCCAGGTTAATGGTGGACCTTGTGTACTTGTCACAGTCACCTGGAGTATGAGGACCCGCTCACATTAATGCATCTGTGCCTGGCTTTTCAGCGCCCACAGCTCAGGGAAGCCGAGGACAGCTTTAGAGCTGCTGGCCGTGGATCTCACATTCAAGGTGAAGCCGCATTTCAGTTTCTCTGAATAACTCCTCCATAAGCAAGCATATTCTTTTGCATCCCCTGTTCTCTTTGGCAGACAAAGCAAACCTCCCCCTTCCATTCCAGATGGTGAATCAAACTCTGCAGAAGCTGGTGTACAAGGAGCTGGAACGCTTCAAGAAGCGCATGTTTCGCAATTACCCAGAACTCTTTGAGCAGCAGCAGGACCAAAATGTACAAGATTTTGTTAAGACATTAATGCAGGGTACAAACAAGCATGAGGCTCTCAATATCATCCTGCAGAACTTGAGGGCCATCGACCAGGAAGAGCTTGCCAATTCCCTGGAGAAGGGTGAGTATTCAAGCCAGGTCATTTATATAATACAAAAGTGTGTCTAAAATCCATTTGAAGCTAAGGGAGTGAACCTTTATTCATGTGAATTCATGTGAACCTTTATTTCACTGACAAAAGCACAAAGAAAAGATTGCCAATATTTCTACTGACCAACTCCATTTTTTTTGTGTGGGGACATTCCAAAATGCTTAATGTGAAAACGCTTAATGTGGTTTAATGTACCAAAATAGCGACCAATAATCACCAAATTTCGCACACACACATCTGGTCATAAAGACTTTCACCTGACAAAAAATCAAAACCGAAATACAAGGAATATGGACTTTATTTTACGTTAAGCGTTTTCCCCTCCATTGACGCCCATTATAAGGAAAAATACCAAGACAGCCACCAAAAATCACTATATTCCTCACACATATATCTGGTCATAAACACTTTCACTTGACAAGAAATCTAAACCGAAATGCTAAGAATAAGGACTGTATACTATGTTAAGCGTTTTCCCCTCCATTGACGCCCATTAAAAGGAAAAGGTTTAATGATTAATTTATTAAGAAGCGGCGAGAGAGTGACTAAAAAAAACGGATGCTGAAAAAAAGTGAAGAATTTAATTAGTAGAAGCAAAAATACAAAGAAAAGTGAAGAATTT